TGTTTTGGGTAGTTCAGTGGAGAAGGGGTTCCTATTTGTGGTAGGAAAGAAACTCAAGACGTCATGTTGTGACATCCTGCTATCTTGACAACCTAGCCTTGAGTCCTTTTCCAGTAACTGTTTTGTTTGGACTCGTATAAATTAATGCAACTGTGGCTTCCCCCTAAATTAACCAGGGTGTTGGACTGGATACCTTCCTTGTATGAATATTAGAAATAACTACAAAGTGTATATCTTTTGAGAAGGGCAAACTTTTAAGTACAAACTTTATATTCAAGAAATAAAAATAAGTAGCATAAGACTTTTCTCAGTGTCCTCACTAAAACGCTCACCCAAAGGTCTCGTTGAGGGGGAAGTGCCAATTTCTCATAGATAGGCCTTTCCCCTTATCCTTTGAGAGTGGTATGTATCTTGAATGCTATTTAGAATTTTCTAAGTTATTTCTCTCATCACCACTTGAAAGGGAAGAGAATATCCAAATTAATCAAAATCACATGGCCTCTTTCCTTGATCTTTTCTTTATAATGTACTCAGTTTCGAACTCAGATCTCGTTTTGTACGGGAACCAACGTTTCTCAGTCTTGGCCTGAAAAGTCCTTGTGTTGGTGGTTGATGTCTACATGTGTAGATTATGATCGCATGGTCTCTTGCAAGTTCATATTGCGCCATAGTTTGTGAAAAATCTTAATCAATTAGATTCACATAAATTGAAATTAAGTCTGCTGTTTTATTTGTGTATTATTCTTGTCAAATCCTGCAACTTATTGTTTGCGTTCTGTTTCATTAAGTGTGGGCTTTGCAATGGCCATCAAACTTATCTGACACATTGAGGCTTGTGTGAGCAGTGCAGTCGCGTGGAAAGAGTTTAATGAGGAGGATCCACTATGCGGTAGGGTCCTGATTGTTAACCACCTTTTTCTGGGCGCACAAAACACACCCATTCACATGGATGAGAACCTTTTTTTGTGTCCAAAGCACAAGATGCAGCCAGTAGTTTGTTCGAGCTTGAAAAGCCGAAATAGTCCAGCATCTTAGATTAGGCTGTAGCCGCGTTTTGATCTTTTGTGTTTTTGGCTATTGGCCACTCTTTATGAGCATAGGATCTTTTTCTGTTCTAATCGAAATGATAGGTGAGTTGATCTGGGCTAATTCAACTCAAAAGTGTCGTTTACATTTGCATTTACGTATTCCATTTATATGTCATAACAATCACAAACAATCACCTAAAACATAAAATAAACTAATAGTCCAAAAACCATAACTTCACTTTTGAGTTGAACTTACTTCGTGATTCAGAGTTTAATTCATAAAAAATTTCTTTTACACTAATGCAAGGTTTTGTTGTAACATGGCAAAAAAATTAAAAACTATTAGGTAATTATTAATTCAAAATGTAGAACTCTTATTTCATAGCTATTGAAGAGGGCCTTAACATATTCAACTAAAATCGTATGACCACACTACTTGTATGCTAAACAGAAAATAAACATTTTTTTTGTTCAAAAAATAAAATAATTGGGGCATCAAGGGATGCACTTCTACAATTGCGTCCCCTCATGCACTTAACATCCATCTTGTAGATGATGTTGTAAACAAAATGGCCCTACCCTGGCAGTTAAAATATATTTAAAAAACAAATCTCATTTTTTATTTATAAAATTTATATACCTTTGTTAATATTTGTAGTTATCATGGTTTAAATTTTCAATCTTTAAAATTTAAGATCTTATACCTATATTTAAAATAGATTTTAGAGAGGACTCATTTAAATAGGTGAGGCAGGGGACTCATTGAAACCTGATCATTTAATTTTTATTCTAAACTATTTTAGTTATTTTAAAATTGGTTTAAGAAGAGTGAGGATCATAAACTCTTCTTTAATTCATCTGAAGCCTAGATAGAAAAGGTGGGTTGTATTAGATAGGGAGTCAACGTAAAATTTTGCTGAATTTTTCATGAATGGCATTTATGTTGTAGAGAGAAAAGATATGGGGACTTATGACTTCATTGAGGGTATCACCCTTAATGGAGCAAAAGATTTGTGTCACTGACTTCAATTAGTTAGAAAAAAGTTCTGATGATGATGATGATGATGGTGATTTTAATTATTCTAAAATATATTTATTGAAAAACTATGTTTCTAAGAAAAGAAACATCAAATGTATCTGAAAATGGAACATGCCATTAGATACTCCGTGTTGATGCGAATCCAGAAGTATCGGCACAAATATCCTTGTTCACCAAGTGTGGAAATGCTGTCGGACCCTTGAACATACGTGTCTATGTTTAATAACTTTGGACTTTCCTTTCTTGTACAAGGGTCACTGTTAGGGGGTTCTGACTCTTATGGCCATTAGAGTGCATGGTTTGATTTTGGTTGTATGTCAAGAATTGGAGGAAGAAAAAATTTATATAATGTTTGACACGGTAAAACCCTCCAATTGATTATTTTGAGTATCGTATGTCGTGGATCTTGTAACGTATTATCTAGACCGTCTATTTTCAAGATTTTTAAATGTTTAGAGATGTATTCGATCTGCAACATTTTTAGAGCTTTAATTTTCATGATTAGGTTGAAAATAATTTTTTACGCAGTCATAAAGTTTGCCGGTTCCAAAATTACATCTTTTAGCATAATTTGGAAACTAGAATTATTTAATATTGATGCCTTGTACAAACACACTCATGGAGAAATAGGCATAAGAGTTAGTAAGTATGTACATGTACTTTGGGCCACATCACTTCCAAAGGATGGATATAATTGAGGTTGAGCCCGCTTGCTTTGATCATCTTGGCGCAAGTTTGTTATTATTGTTATTCTTATATTTGTGCTATATGAGCTACATACAAGCATACTCTCGCACAACACGCGCATGCATTTGCATCTTCGTGTATTTTGGAAAAATATTTAAATGAAGTGCACTGCTTCCCCTGCCCTACTGTCGGATTCATCAATACCTTTACTATTGAAGTAAGCCACATCCCAAAACTCATCAGAAATGATTCTTCTTATTATGAAAATCTACAAATTATCAAGACCTTGAGATACACGGGATATGAGAGAAGGATTCCAAGTCATAAAAATAATGCACTTGTAACGCCATATTTGGACTGGTAAAATTTTCAATATCATAGAGTTGTTTGATCTGTACCATTTTTAGAGTTTTGAATCTTTCTAACATTAGAATTGCATCCTTCAACATATTTTTAGAGGGGCACCTTATTTTGATTGTTTAAAGTTGAGGTATCGTATAGACCTCATCTTTACCCTTAGAAACATAGCATGTAAATCACACATTTGGAATACTCTACAATGTGCACTCATAAAAGAAACAGAAGTGCAGCTTGGATGAACTGAGTTGAGACAAAACAAGAAGAAAAGGGAAATCTGCATCCCACCTCCAAAACATGCATACAACAAAGAATCAAAGAACCCCTTGCATTTTTTATTTTATTTTTTTTATTCTTTTTTCTTTTGGAAGTTTTTTGGACCAAAATAAATGTGTATTAAAAAGAAAATAAATCGACTCCCCAAAATTAGTGCTCTCTTTATTCTCTCTCTCACTCCTCTCTTTTGGGCTAATCCTATGCTTCTTTGGCGCTTTTTTTTGGGCCAATAAATTGAAGATTTTTTGGCGCCTCTCTCTCTCTCTC